AAGAACACTAGTGTATGGGGGAATCCAGTTGGAGGTATTTGTGTGTGCATATAGGTGGTGATGCTTGGATTATCTCCGGTATGATTGGCACCCCCCTATACTGTTAGAGGGATCAACTGGTTTCTAACAATCTGGAGAAGGTATTTGGAACTACTTTGTGTTGTCTCTTTTTATGTATACACTTTGTTGTAAGGCCCATCTGTTGTGTTGATTTTATTTTCTGTATTTATAGAACCTTGACATAGTTTGCAGGGCTTTACAGCGTACATAGAAGCAGTCACATCAGCCTCTGCCCTGTATGAGCGTACAGCCTTCTGTTCCCACTACACACGTACACGGGCCAGTTTAAAGAAGAACTCTGGGCAAAATGTTTATTAACCCTTTCAGTGAGGCTACCCCAATACTGCAAGGGTTAAGTGCTTGTTGTGGTATAGGGAGGAAAATATCAGTTATACTCACCCAACCCTTGGAGCTGGCTGGCTGTCACAGCTCTCCATCCTGCCTGTTTCTTCCTCTCCTCCAGCGATGGTATGTCCCTCGGCGTCCTCACATCCTATACACAGTGTATAGAATGTGATGACTCTGAGAACTTAGCACTGCAGAGGAGGGGTAGAGAGGCTTAAACGACTGGTCTAAGAGCAAGCCGGCTCCTAAGATCAGGTGAATATAAAATATTTTTGGGGGTTTTCTTCCTTCCTAGACCAAAACTCGTGGTAGCCGCCTCAAGGGTTCATTTAAAAAAAATCTTCTTTAATGTTCTTTGATTAAGAGGGAAGCAGGAACACCCTGAAGATTCCAGTGAAGGCACAAGGAGAACATGCATATTAATGCTTACAGTTTAATTTCAATCCTAGTGTCTCTTAACATTAAAGTCCATTGCCGGGCAAACCAAAAAAACTACATTTGCAATGAGCTAACCCTACACTGCAAGGGTTAAGTGCTTGTTTTTTCCTAGGAGACCCCCCTGATCCCCCATCTCCCTCAGAGCTACTGACCGGTCTTTGCAGCCTCTGCTGACCCTGACATCATCGCGTCTAAAGCTGGCTATACACCTATAGATTATCTGCAGATTTTCTATGGTCAGATGGAGAAAGTGACATCTCCAGATTCCTCCATCTACACTAAGCTGTGTGGGTGGAGGAATCTCCCACTGGGCCAAGCTTCAGTAATTTGCTAGTCGGCCCCGCTGCCTGTCAAAATACCTGAACAATGCCTGCATCCAATCAGATTGTTCAGGTATTTTGAGAGCTGGCGAGGGGCTCCTAGTAAAATACTGAAGCTTGGCCCAGTGGGAGATTCCTCCATCCACACAGTTTAGCGTAGATGGAGGAATCTGTTCCATCTGACCATAGAAATCCTGCAGAAAATCTATAGGTGTATGGCCAGCTTAATGCAGGATGCCGAGGGACATTCCAGCAGCTGGAGGGAGGTGAGTGCTGGCTGTCGGGAAGCAGGAATCGGGTAAGTAAATGTGCTTTGCTCCGGTCCCCTAGACATTAACAAGCACTTAACGCTTGCAGTGCAGGGGAAGCCCCACTGGAAGGGTCATTTTTCGGTTTTCCTGGAGATGGGCTTTAATGGGCTTTAATCCTTATGAAATTTTGAGCCCTGATCTACACTATACCATTTTCAAGTCCTGAGCTACTAGCCAGGCCTTAAAAGTTACTCGCCACCAGTTGCCCCACCTAACCCCTACCCTGCCCCGGACTTAACTCCGCCAGGTCAGTAAAGTAACACAGCGCAGAGGTCAGAGTGACGCACAGCGCGGAGGTCAGAATGACGCACAGCGCAGAGGTCAGAGTGACGCACAGCGCAGAGGTCAGAGTGACGCACAGTGTAAGGAAGAAAGAAAAGGGACTTACAGTGCACTTAGCTGGTATTCAGGTGCCTCTTCTTTCTCCCGGGGGGGGGTTGGGGTGGAGGTCGGTGCAGAGTCGGTACCTTCTTTTCCCTGCTAACTTTCTGGATGGCTGGTCTCACCGTCTCTGCAGTCTTCCTCCCAGCCTGGCAGCTGAGGTGGGCGGAGAAAGCTGGAGAAGACAGCGGATGTCATCGAGGAGCGCCGCCGGCGGGACCAGAGATAGGACAGTACCACCACGGCGATCGTTCCTTTGTGTTCTCTCTTCTCATCGGCCGCTCTGTAGCTGCAGCGGCCGATGAGAAGAGAGAACAGAAGCGAGCAATTGCCGCGGCGGTAGTGTCCCATCTGGTCCCGCCGGCGGCGCTCCTCGATGAGATTCCACTCGCCCCCCCCCGCAATTTTCACTCGCCAATTGCGAGGGGGCGAGTGGAAATTTTGGGGCCTGGTGTAGATAGTGTAGGAGATTTGATCATGAAATAGTAGGATGCTTTCCAGTTCATATACAACCAGTGCAAAAAGCAGTCCAATGTTTTACCCGTGTTCGAGAGAAATTGCTTGTCTCCTTCGTCTGTCCGGGATGCTGAAGAATTAATTCCCAAAAAAAGATAACTAAAAGAGTTAAGAGTTGAGAATCTTCCCTCAGTGAATTGTAGCCGTGTTCTCTTTGAATACCCAATCGTGCAGATGAAATCCATCAACAGAAATTTGCTGATCATATGATTGGATAATTAAAGTTTATTGAGTGAAAGTTCTGAACGCCTTTAGCAAGGCTGATTATCTAGCTCTCGGCATCAAACTGCAATATATGCATTCTAGGTGGTCCTTGAAGGAAGAACTGCTATTGAATTAAAAAGTAGGATAATGGTAAGAATGAGGAGCCATTGAAGTCAATAAGGGCTTGTTCACACCACACATATGGAGTGGTGTTTAGAATAGTGCAGCTCAATTGAGCAGTCGTCCTTAAAAGAGAACTCTGGGGTAAGTGTTTTCTCCCATAGTTCTCCTAAGGATCATGGGAGGACATATACTAGCGTCCTCCCGTGACCCAAAGCTCAGTATATCGCGAGCTACAGGTCGCGGTATACTGAGACCGCCGCAGCCAGGATGCTGTCGAGATCCACCCAGCTCTAGGGATCAGTTTCATTGTCACAGGTCGGCTCTAACTATGAGGTTGAGTGATTTTCACTCACCTCATAGTTCTCCTTTTTAATAGAACATTTCATTTGTTACATTTCCTTGCTTTGCTTTTAAGGAGAGCAGTTCTTCTACAATATGTCATGGGTTTCAGATACCTATACATAAATATGTATAAACATTCTATGAAGTATTTACCGGCAGGTTTATATAGGGAAGCTTCACCTTGATTAGGTATGGACCATTCATTGGCCTCATTCAGTTCCTGGCGGTAATCCCGAGTGTGGCTCGGGGTTAATTTTCAGTACTAAAAAAATTAACCCCGAGCCACACTCTGTATTACACTGTGCGTCGCTTACCTTGTCCACGAGCCTCGATGTGTCCTCCGGCCGATGCCAACATCCGTCTTCTGGGTTCGGTCCCTTCCGAGCACCCACATCGCAGGGGGGCGCAACTGGCGGGAAATGTAAAAGTAAAACAAAAAAAACTGAGGTAATCAGACCGCCAGGGAGGTTAAAGGAAAACAGATAAAATATTATAATTGCTACACAAGTGATTTGACAATCCATTATTCCTAAAACTGACCATTCTGTTTCAATCTTCAGAGTTTCTAATGCTTTAAGGGCCCATTCACACTATTGTGGTGTGCTAGTGCATGCGGGTTAACCTGCATCATGTTAACCAGTTGACATCCGCTGCAATGGTCGGGTCTTTTCTGCCCGTGCGTGCCCGCTAGGGGGCACGCGCGAGCAGAAAAAAATTGCCGTCTGGAGACTGCAACCCGCCAATGCAGCAGTGCCGTCCGTCCGTTTTTTTTACTACGGGCGGACGGCGAGAGGTTAAGGAAACCCATTCATTTTAAAAAATGCACCAAGAATGGTGCATGTACCATTTCTGGCAGTGCACGGCAATGCACATCCGTCAGCAGGGTGTTGGGGTGCCATTCATGTGCAACACAATAATGTGAATAGGCCATAAAATGTGTCAAAATCCAAACATTGCTTTCTTGCTGTGTGCAGCCTAAAGGTGTTGTCTATTATTATTATACAGGATTTCAGTTTGCACAGCGCTTTACAATATAAGGAAGACATTACAATCACAATACAATTCAAGACAAGATGCTAAGGAGGGCCCTGCCTGTGAGGGCTTACAATCTAATGGGGAGGGGGAAGTGATACATAAGGTAGCTGTGTGGGAATGAATTGTTTGAGAAGGTGATGGTTGAGCGGTCAGGTTGAGGCGGGATAGTCTTCCTTGAAGAGATGAGTCTTAAGGGATCGCCTAAAGGCAGTTAGAGAGGGAGATAGTCGGACAGGTTGGGGTAAAGAGTTCCGGAGGATGGGAGAGACTCTAGTGAAGTCCTGAAAGCGAGCATGGGAGGAGTTGATGAGGGAGTTCGCGAGCAGGAGGTCTTTGGAGTTGAAACCATCCAAAAAGGGAAACTAGAGATTCTTCATAAAAATTCCACGGGATATTTCTAGGAAGGACTATATAATAAAACTTGTGTTCCCCATTCTGCATTGAGCCCACAACATGTGTCAACAGTTTAGCCAGAATTTTGTGTTAAAGCTGAACTCTAGGCACTAAACAGGATAAAATGTACTTTGCGTGCACCTAACGTGTTTGCAAGCTCAGTTATTACCTTGTAATGCTGTGCTGTACATAGCCTACGCATAGAGCAGAGGTGTAGGAGGGGCTCCACAAACTACAGGGGGGCGGATACCATACCAGTCACCCTGTACAATAAGAGAGCAGAACTCACTGGCTTATTACAGATGAAATGTTTCACATTGGATTACTGCACAGACCCGGAAGAAATCCACAAATCACACGAATATTCATGTAAGAATACACAAGGCTCTTGTATATAGACAATACTTGCTTATCCTAGGAGATCAGCGTTAACATGTTAGATGTCATGTTTCCTTTGTTAAACCAATGCTTATAATGAGCAGGTTATCATGTATCTTGCCATTAGAATAACTTCCATTATGTTTTATTCCAGGGTTGTGCTTTCTGCAAGGAGAAGGGTGCAGATTGTTCAGCGTACACAGAGACCTTAGAAGAGCTGGAGCTCAGTGGGATCATGGAATCGTGTGATTAATGCTGGTTATCATGACGCAGTGACCTCAAATACAGCTGGTGTATTAATTCCACTGCCTGTCACAGCTGCCATTCATTGGCCATTGCATTTCCCACCAGCTCTCAAGCTGAGAATTATCTGCCATCACATCTCTACAATTCCATGTGCTGCTTTTCTTGGTGGGAAATTTTAGTACCCATCGGGTCCTTTTTGAACTCCAAAGCTAAGCTTGGTTCCAGTTTGTCAGCATGCAGTAAATGCTGATATCTGACGTACTGTACAGTCCTATTTCATAAAACACATGAAGGATATCTCAATCTTCTCTGAAGACAAACACTGGATTATTGTTGTGCAGAACTATGCCCGTTAGAAAAAGGAATCTGTAAATGTCTTTGCCCAGTAGAAGCAGATCTGTTTTATGATCATGTATAAGCTCATTTCTAAAAAAACTATTTGAAAAAGTTTGATAATGACAGCATGTTGTATGCTTGTGGAAACCAGATGCTACCTTTTTGAGCATTTGAAGTCTTTGAAAGAGGTTTTATGAATTTGTATTAATTCCCTCAAATATATTTATTCCTTCGACTCGCTAAATGTGATTTCACAACCTACAGTACTGTCACCTTGCTTGCCTACGCTCATCCCGACATTGGATGTAACCATCACTGAAATCTTTACAATGGTTTTATCACTTCTAGTATTAGAAATATCAGGCAGCACCAATTCTATCCTTTCTGGTTACTGAACAAAGCGCCATCTACGGATGCTATATTCACTGAACGGAGAGGTCTGTAAGCTTTCTAGTATATGAATGGAGTGCCAGCTTCAGGCCTCTCCATTACTGAACAGAACATCATGTATGTGCTTTACTGAATGGAGCACCAACTACATTGTTCCCAGTTACTGAATGGAGCACCAACTACATTGTTGCCAGTTACTGAATGGAGCACCAACTACATTGTTCCCAGTTACTGAATGGAGCACCATCTACATTGTTCCCAGTTACTGAATGGAGGACCAACTACATTGTCACCAGTTACTGAATGGAGCACCATATACATAGTCACCAGTTACTGAATGGAGCGCCATATACATCATTACCAGTTACTGAATGGAGCACCAACTACATAGTTCCCAGTTACTGAATGGAGCACCAACTACATTGTTGACAGTTACTGAATGGAGCACCAACTACATTGTTCCCAGTTACTGAATGGAGCACCATCTACATTGTTCCCAGTTACTGAATGGAGCACCAACTACACCGTCACCAGTTACTGAATGGAGCACCATATATATAGTCACCAGTTACTGAATGGAGCGCCATATACATCATTACCAGTTACTGAATGGAGCACCAACTACATAGTTCCCAGTTACTGAATGGAGCACCAACTACATAGTTCCCAGTTACTGAATGGAGCACCATCTTCAGGCTTTCCAATGACTGAACAGAAGACCAGCTACATGCTTTCCAGTTACTGAATGGAGAACCCTTTACATGATTACCTGTTACTGAATGGAGTACCTTCTGCGACATGGGTAGGTAAGCTTGGCAGTCCAGCTGTTGTGAAACTACCAGTCCCATAAGGGATTGCAAGACTGACAGCCAGAGACATAATGCCATTTGTAGTCTTACTACTGAGGTGTGCCGAGGTTGCCTACCCTGCTTTAGGTGTTTTGCAGTTTCTACACCATCAGCAGGCTTTTGTGTAAATAAATAAGGGCAGAAGAGCCCTGCTCAGAAATTCAATGTCCAGAATATACAGTCCAGTTGTTGAATGATGGATTGGTACCCTGCACAGATTTCTACACCTGTTAATGCCATAGATGCAATGCTGTGTCTAAGCTGCTTGGTCCTAGGTTAGCAAAAAGACTATTTCACTATATGAAGGGGCTAAGCAATCAGTTGAGGCTGGATTCCATGCACCATACTTGCTGAACAACAGCTACCAAGTGCACCTCATCCTCATAGCTGCCTGTATGAAGACCCAAAGACTCTATGTGTAAGGTGTGTGTGTGGAAGTACAGACCACTGTGCCTGTCTATGTAATTTGTGTCAATTGATGAAGTGTGTATTATGTGCAGAAATACAGATGGTGATGTGTCATTGTAGCATAATGAATATACAGCACTGCTATGTGGAAACATGGATGAGGAGATGTGATGACTGTTAGTCACAATCTTACTGTGTCATCGGATACACTGGGTGTCTCCCGCCGTGTCCAGGGATGTGTACAAGAGATATGAGCGACGTCTCCTGTCCAAGGATGTAAACAAATGTAGCTTGGGATCTGCCCCAGTATATTCTACTACCATCGACTGTTACTTTTCCAACATGACCAAATCCTGCAATGTCATTGGTTATATTCTGTTTGTCCCTGACCTTGTTATGTCTTGTCTGTTGTTACTTGGTAGAGAAATGCCAGTAAAATAACTTTCTATTTTTCACTTGTGTCTTGAATCTTTTTGTGAAGGAGAATTGTATAGTCATGTGCACAGTGACACTTGTGAAACCTTTCCCGCAGTCCTCAAGGATGATGATGCCACAAATGTTTATTTTCCCAAAGCACCATGAGTTAAAAGAATCCTTGGCGAAAGCTTGTTGTCTGGCTGCCATTACAATCCAATGGCTGTAGCCCTTTCTAGAGGCACAGACTTGGTCTTTTGTTCTGACCGAAGTTCCTTGCTTGTTTCTGGTCAGTGTACTGGGCTCTGGCCTCATTCACTTTGTGCTCGTTAGGTAGCAAAGTAGTGATGGGGAAAACTGCCTCTATTACCCCCCAAAAAAGGCAACTTCTTTTTCTGCTTCTAAAGTGTTGTATCTGTGTTTTTTTTTTTCCACGCCTTTTGAGTGAGTGTTGTCTGCTCAGCTCAAATCCTGACTTAATAATAAGGCCCAGCAACAGTTCCTGTCCCCTGGTGACACCGGCCCTTTTAACGGGATTATAGTTGTCATCCAGGGCTGCTCATCCCCGCTCCTAAGTCACAAGTCAGCATGCCAATGCTTTCCTGACCAGCATTACAATGGCGCTTACTTGCTGGAGTATCCAGAAGAGCCTCCATAGTGGAGACTGGGTAGCAGGATTGTCAATCTCGGGTATTGTGCTCATATTTGACGTGTGCACTTGTGCCGATGAGCTATGGTCGCTGGGATATGTTGTCTGAGCATCCCGGTCAGGTGTGAGATACAGGGCAGCCATCAGGGGGGTACGGCCGATACTCATGTAAGGGCCCCAGGCAGCCTGGGGGGCCCGCCCAGGTCCCTTTACATGACTATTGGTCGACGGTGAAGGGCGAGGAGGCGGAGGACTGGCCCTAGCAGCGCAGGGCCACAGCATTGCCGCTCCAGCAGCTTCGAGACAAGCTGGGGCCCCATCAGCGATGCTGCTTGTCTGATGTCGTACTGGTTAGTGACGTCACTTCTGGCCTGTCCGGCTGCAGACGAGGCCACGTGTGCGGGTAAGAGTAGCTAGGAAGGAAAGGAGAGAGGGGAGGGATGCAGCCCTGACCAGCCCACCTGAGACCCCTTCAGAGCCCACCACAGACAGTCTCAGATGGGCTATGCAGCATCTATGGTGGGCTCTGCAGAGTCACTCTCAGGTGGGCCCTGCGTCCAGCGCGTCACTAAGCCCTGCGTCCAGCGCATCACTAAGCCCGTGTCCAGCGCATCACTAAGCCCGTGTCCAGCGCATCACTAAGCCCATGACCAGCGCATCACTAAGCCGTGTCCAGCGGCGGGGGCCCGACCTAAAGCCGTGTAAGGGGCCCCAAAATTTCTGAAGGCTGCCCTGGTGAGGTATGTAATCTGCACCTATGGCTTGAGGGTGGGTGCACAAAAAATGGAAGCACAGCTTTTCAGGTTCACAGAGGTAAGAGTTGAGAAGCTAAAAATTCATAATTGCACTAGGATTATTTGTAAACTGTTAGGTGATTCATCTATGGGGGAACTATTTGCAATATTACTTGTAAAATTTGTATTTTAATACAAAGTGCACTTATCCGGCTGTCTGTGTCCCCTGCTAAAGCTGTAGAGGAGCGGTGCTTTATTCCTATGTCAGGCTGTGTGTTCATAAATAGAATTGTTTAAAATAAGAGCCCTGTTTGGTCTCTCATAGAGGGCAGTCATTCCGTTTTTGGAGCTTGTAATGTAGGAGAGAGTAGTGATCAGCCCGCTCTTCACAGCACCATTTTACTTTCTCCTTCTGCTATACGTTTTGTGAATGAACCCTATGATGTGATCATGTCATTCATCTGTATGAATGCACAGAACATCTCTCCTCTGGCAGCATACATAGTAAGTGAACACCCCATGCTCTCCAGGAAGTGGACACTGCTAGTCTGTTTAATCATTGTTTTAATGGTAACCTTTCCTGAAAGAAACATAGAAGCTGCCTTACAGACCTCTCATTCTACTGGACACTGCTAAAGTATTGAAGGCAGAGATTTGGCAAAACAGCCACGCGACTAGCATTTTCAGAGGCATGTTGGCATTTGCAGGCAAAAGTTAAATACAAATCCTGTGATTTAATGATTTAAAAACGCAATGTAATGTGTCGGTATGACCACCAGAGGGTGCTGCACTCCTTATCGAAATACAATTGTTCGTTGCTCTATGTATGGATTTCCAGGTTCATAGCCATTGAACGCTGGAATAAGGTTGGAGGACCTATAAACTCAACACAGTTGGTAATCAAAAAGAAATGGCAGCAGGACGGTGACATCATTTTTATCTCACAGCAATGTACTGCGCTTCTGGTAAGCCCCTTCCTCTTAAGCACCTTTTTATATAGTTATACAAAGGTTTCCCCCTCTTATATCTAAAATGATCACAAATCAGGAAGTTATTAAGGAAGTCTACTTTGTAGAACCCAAAGAGGTCACAGTGCTTTTTTCTGTATTAGAAGAGGAACATTAAGGGCAGGTTCACACCACAAAGGCTGCGTTCCAGAGCGTTAGGCCTCTGGAACGCAAGCCGGCCAGCTCCCTGCCCGCACCGGGAACGCAGGCACATTAGTGCTTGCGTTCCGGTCCAGTGCGATCTGCAAAAATAGTGCTTGCAGTATTTTTGCAGATTTGCACTTGACTGAAACACAGGCACTAATGTGTCTGCATGCAGGGGGCGTGGCTACGG